CACTTTCGGTAGGAACAACACCTGTTGATTTCCTCCTATTTTTAAAGCAGGGATCCCCCTCTTCCCAAGTGGTGCATTTGACAAAATTAATGAAAAATCTTAAAAGAAATAGGATTAATACTCTACACTATTCCTTAGGAGTGGGTGCGTATATTTAGGAAGTTATTCTAACACAGAACTTTGCTGCAACCCTGTATACCTCAGCATTAATCTGCCTGACCATAAAAAGAAAGAAAAGCTGAGGCAGGAGTAAACTGTTGATGTCCTCTCTGCTAGTAATGCATTTTAAAAAACCAAAACTAATCAAAAAAATCCACTCTACGGAGAAAGTCCCCTTTCTCCTGAGAAGCCAGGCTTGCCACAGAACTGGAATCACCTGTTGAAACAACTACTTCTATCCCATTTACCACCTGTTTTCGGTGTCAGATTATTGATCATAGACACAGCTGAACACCCCAAACTAAGCAGTGCTGTTCTACAGCTTCACGGCTGTAACTATTTCATCAGCTATAATCCGCAGAAAGTTAATGACTTACTTCCTCATCTTTTTTTTTAATTTCTGCTTGAACTTCCTCCAGCTCTTCCTGACCTTCATCTGGACTCATTTTCAAGCCTTCACGAAGCATTCGGATGCCAAAAATTGCAAACAGTGCTGTTGACACATAGTATGTGTACACACGAGGAATAACTGTGGTGGCATAGCCAAACAAAACTGAAAAGAAAACAAATGTGTCATTTAAAAAAATAAGCATGAGGATCATAATTGTTTTTCCCACATCTAAGAAATGCTTGCTAACAAAAGTCTGCAATTCAAACATCCACTGATAAATAAATATTGCATCTTTTGTTAGTTTTATATAATTTTATTTTGGTTGTTTTGGGTTTTTTTTCCAAGATATTGACACTCTAGAAACTCCAACCATTACTGGTCATGCCAGAGACTGAAGTCCATTAACGCAGACAAGGCACACCAGGCAAAGGTGATGTGCTGCTATTCTCAAGAGCCAGTCCAGTTAATTCCATTTTTATATACGAGTATATGTGGATAGCATCTCTTTCCAAAAATTTCATTTCACAGAATAAGAATAAGAAGTTAGAATAAGATTTTCTACAAGTTAAATCTACTAGACATACTCACAAATCATCCAGCTGTGTGAATCCATGTCTGTCTTCTTTTGCCAAGTGCAAATACCTGCATGTTACTATTCCCTCTTCTCCCACAGTCCCCCCAAACACACGCGACCAACTTTGATCTTCCTTTACTTTAAAAGCTCTGATCCCACTCAAACACCAAAAAGCTACCTCCACAGTGCATCTACTTTTACATGTATTGAAGACGCTCAAACTAAGCCAAAACTAGTTCTCAAATAAGAAGAAATAGGTATCCAGGACAAAGTACGTACTTCTTCACAAAGTAAAACCAGTTAAGTGTTTTTGGACAGAAAAGGCCTGTATAAATGAGAGTAATTAAAATCCCACACCTAACATTCAAGTGCTTGAACCACATGCTCACAACTGTTCCTGTTGTTTTACTCCACATGCAATTAGCTAAAAGGAAGCTCATTACCATATGTGTTTTCCTGCACACACTTTCTTAGTTGAAAACCACACTCGGAAATTACAACATGGATCTGGAAATTAATCCTCACTGCCACAACTAAAAGTAAGACTATGAGACAGAAATTGAGCTGTACTGTTAGTAAACATGGCACATACATGAATAACAGTATTAGTTGCACAGCTAAATAAGCCAGACGTTAAATTAAACTTATTTTTAAAGACTGAAAATACTAAAGTAAAGCAATGCAAAGAACTATACAAAAAACTTTTTTTTTTTTTGTTAGCATTACTTGCATATACAAGCACAGACATAATGAAATAACCAGAATGGTAAGGCAGCTTATTTTGTCAAGCACAGCTTGAAAAACACCCCAACTAGTCGCTGCTTGGATCTAGTGAGTTTAAGTGAGCATGTTTTCATGAAATCAAGCTGGGCAAAACCCCCAGAAACTTCCCAGACACAGCTTGTATAAAACAAAAGGCAGTGGAGAGAGAAGAAAAAAGAAAAGAAAAAAAGGCTCCACAACAAATACTACTTCAATTATTTCTGAAATGGGCATGGTTAGAAATGAGCACACATACAACAAATTTATGCTGCATCTGATATACCTGAAGGCTGCTCCATTTTATGATCATTGCTACATAAGCACCCACAGCTACAGGTTCCTCAAGTGGCACCTGACACTTCACTTCCCCCCCACCCCAGCCCTCGGCTGTCAGTACTACTCATCTCAAATGATTGTGGCAGAATGTCATCTTCCACGTACGCAGCTCCCAGCACAAATCCAAAGAGCTACACGTACAGGGATACAAGTCAGACAAGGGAAACTTATCACCATATTAAGAATCTTTCGCCTTAGGAGAAAAAACAGAAGTCACTCCCACATTCCCTTTAGGCACACTAATTTAACAGGAGCTAAAAATAAAAAGGAAACTAGTGGCCCAAAAAAATCAAAGCAAGTGCCTAGGCTCCCAATTCCATTCCTCTTCCTTAAAGTCATATTGAGGTCTAGGGAGCACAAATACCTCAGCAGAGGTAAGAGTCTTAAATATTCAAATCTAAGCTATGGTCCCTAGGAAAGCCTTCACAATCTCTTCACAACAGAAAACTGCATATACCTACTACCTTCATTTTAATTTCAATTAAGATTTACTGATAAATACATACCGAGAACACTTTAAGAGATGAAACAAAAAGAGTGCTAACCTGATAAACATGTCATCAGTCCCAAGGCAAGCATAGCACCAGCCAGTACAGTCAAACGGTTGTACCGCATTGCCATGATGGCTGCAATGAAGAAGGTCTTATCCCCCAGTTCTGATACGATGATGACCGATATAGCAGCCACAAACGCATGAATAAAGCCCAAATTAGTCTTGTCAGCTGACTCTTCACTGACAATGTGAACTGGAGCAACCTGCGAGGACCCCTTCTGTAAGAGGAAGGGGAAAAAAACAACAAAAAACTCACTAGTTAATTAGGTTTAAATAGTTAGTTCATAGAAGTACCGAGGCTCCTATTTCTCCTGTCATACTATACTGCATAGTGCGACATTTAAGTATACACCTCTCACACAGCATTAATGATCATTAACTAGTTACTGGCTGCCACCTACCCCAAATTGCTAGTTAGGCACTTTGCAGGAAGATCAGCTCATGCCTTGATTAAATTAGTACTTTACCATGCACACTATCACCAGAACGTGAGAACCACTATTACAACCAAACATGGGGAAAGCTGCTTTATTTCGGCTCCAATATTTCTGTATTTATAATCCTTGGCCATTTACTTTAATCAAACAAGCAATTTTCTGATATAAACATTAAGAATTAAGTTCTTCGAAGTAAAATTGGGCAGTTAGGGTACCTTAGGAGAAATACAAAGTCCTTTCAAAAATGGTCAGAATCACTTTCTTCCCTTGCAAATTTGCATCTCAGCGACGTTACAATTTTGCACAAGTTTTCAGCAGCTTTCTTTGTACATGCTGTTGTTGGAAAGTAGCTTTAAGACTTTCCAGTGGTCAAACTGGACCTGTGCATTCCAGATCTCACTTACTCACCGAAGTGTTTGCTTTTACAGAGATTAAGATATCTACAATCAAAAGCAAGACCCAAAACATGGACGTCGATGTTCACATGCCTGACCGGAGATGGCTAAGAAGGCTTGTTTCAGCACATCTACCAGCAGAGACAGATTGCAACGTGTTTTAACAGCAGCTTCCCAGCATTCCACTTTCAGCAGTGCTGTAAGTTTTTGGTATTCAAAAGTTCCCATGCTCTACATGATCGACAGTGACTTCCCAGAGTTCCTTCACATTTAGCTGCACTGTAAATTTTTGGGTTTGTTATTGAAAACTTGGCATGCTCTACATGCTATATCAAGCCATATGTTAATAATTTTTTCACCCCTCTGTGTGATCACCTGGCACTAGAATCCCCTAACCGAGAACACCATTTAAAAAGTTTGAAGGCAAAGAAAGTAATCTTAAATATTCAGGAAAAACTAGCAGGCTTTGAGCCACAACAAAGCGTGCTTTCATCTGCTTCTGGGAGGCAGACCTGGAGAGGTGGGTTCCTCCCTCAGCATGCAAGCAAGTGGGGCACGACAATATTTACCCGGTGAAAAAAAAAAGCATCAGCCCATTTTTCACGTCGGACCTAAATTCCCCTGTTTAGCAGAAAAGGGGAAAGCCGCCTTTTAAAGTGGCCCCGCAGCTTTCCCTTTTTCTGCTAAAGGGGGAAATTTCGGCCTCCGACAGGCCAGGCGTCCTGCAGGCCAGGCCGCCTCACCGGCTGGGAGCTACCGCGGGGGGCGACTGGGCCGCTCCCGCCGCCGTGGCCCGGCGGAGGGAGGGGAGGGTTGTGCAGGCAGC